TGGGGAGTAGAGCCAAACATAAACAGGGATGAGTCAAATGTACGGTAAACAATCTGAGGGAACTCCGAATTGGTATTCTGTGTTGATTATGTAACCGACATCGTATCAAAGATCACAATCCACGTTCGCGTAAAGATGGACGGAGGGGGGGGACTGGTGCTGTGTCAACTGCTCAACTGCTGTTCTTGGTGGACATGCTCTCGACATTCACCATCATGATCGGTTCTCACCACATTCCTCGAGAACTAGCATCCGACTCACAAAGCCCGAATCGTGAGCACAGCGAAAATTGATCCAAGCTCTCAAACTCCTCGGATTAAGGGAGAATTAAATGCTGGTTCACATGACCACGACGTGACATAATGGATTTCATTACGTAACCGAGACAGTGTACCAACTCGGAGTTCTGTCGCACTGATTCATATGCACATGAATAATTCATTTTTTCGTTTGATTCTACTGATTATTTTTAAAAATGTAAATATTATTTTAGGAGCTTGAACCGCATTCACCGTAAACGACTGTTCACTAACATTGTGTGTTAATAGTCAGTGGGCATATTCCGTGATTTCATGTTATGACAGTATTTACTAGCCATTCTATCCTCATCATCAACTGCCCCGTAGTCATGTGTAGCGTACAGTACCATTTCTGCATCAAGTTGGCTTTCAATACCCCGAAGAGAGATTTGTATTGTCATTTCTGATCTGATTTCCCTCCTGAACTGAAGTCACAAATCCTCGAGAGCAGATGATCGAGGTGCTCACGGAGGTGTCCACTGTCCACGTGGGGCCACCAATGACACAAATCGCAGGCTTATCTTCCGGAGGAGAAGCACATAGGTATCATCGTATATTTTAGCATAATAATGCCACTCTTTACATGTGGGCAACAAGAAAACAGGGATAAAACAATAAACAGTCGATTTCAGGAGGAGTAGGGGAAAGGACAGAAGGGGTGGGTGATGGACAATATTTTGTTTGTTTGTTTGCCGTCACCAAGTGAGATAAATGTGTACCCTGATTGTGCACGAATCACAGACATGTGTGGAGGTCAGATGTGTGTGCCTGTGTGTCAACGCTGTTGGATTTGTGACTGACGGGTCATTGGTGTGTAGGTGTACGTGCGTGGTTAAATCGATTCGGGGTAGTGGTGGTGATGTACCGACCAAACTCGGAGTATGTCCAACATTTGGAAAAACACAACCCAGGCATCATGCAAAAAAAAGGGTTGGTGCGAGCTGGAAGAAATCGGACTAGGCCCGTTGAGGCCCGTTGCATATCATAAACCGCTTTGTTTTAAGCTTTCGTTTTAAGTATTGTTTTCTTTTAGTGACGTGTTGACCCCTCATTTTATATTGGACTGAAACAGTTAGATAAAAATACAATCGCCCCTTTGTAGTGAGCATTAAATGTATCGGTTAGTTAACCAATCCCAATTGTGATCATCTGATTTAGTGTGCCATATAAAAATAAAAATAATAATAATAATAAATACGTACTAGTCACTCATCAGAGTAACTGCGTTAAAATATGGTGACTGATAGTGAGTATGCCTAATACTTGTGATTCTGGACATGAGACCGTGTTCTATTTCGAGGCAACATCACTCTCTTTAAGTTCGATTGGGAACGTTTCTTTTGTACCAGTGTTGTGCTATTTACCGCATTACCTGGAGAAGTAGATTCGCTGATGCGAAATATTGCTTGATGCTAATTTTTATACTTCAAAGGATCCGAACATAGACAGTATTGGCTTCATTACCAATTAACAAGCAAGGCAATTTCGAAGGAGCTTGTCCAGTTTATCTGAATACAAACAAGGTGCATAATGTGACTTGCTAAACACCGGCTTTTAAAAACAATCCAGGTGTCCTCGAAACAAAAAATCAGCAATAGTTTTTGAGCTTGAAAAATCAATATCGAGTGTTATATTTTCTCCAAAAAAGCATTTTGCATTTTGCATACTGAAATTTAGCAGAAATGCTAGCTTGTAGCTTATCTGTCTACACTGCATACGATAATTCTTCCTGCAGAATGAAGAGACTAAGCACGTGGCCAACCATACAACTGGCCTACTCGAACTAGCAGACACACTCGTTTCAGAAGGAAAACATTCATTGTGTCAGTTTCTGCATGAAGAACAAGTGGATGAAATTTTAGGAAGATTATCTGCAGGTCAGTGAATTTTATTTGCACGTTATGCAGTGATATTCTGAATTGGTAGTTTGTGTTTATGCACCCGTGTGTGTGTGGGCTTTGGAAAGCGGTTTAAGCGCCTACAGCAAATTGGATGGTGGTATTTCGGTCACTGTATTTCGGTGGAAAGCGAACTGGCCCCAAACATTCTACTCGCGGTTGCTTCTGTCGTGCACACAGTGCTCGGAGTCAAACTGGACGGGAGAATCAGGTAAACACCGAAAAAAGAGAAAATACTTATATCAAAATATAGAATCTGGTATAAATCCAATCATCGGGAAAAGCCCAAAAGATTGTTTTTCCACTTGATTCCGATATCCTGTTGTTTCATCAATTCTGTTACCTAAATTGACAACTTGGATGAAACTTCATTTATGCAGCAGTATGTATTGTCTTACGGGTCAGATTGAGTTAAACGTATGTGAACTACACCTGGGTTTTTGTGAGCTCTAACTCAGTGCCATATGCATTCTAATAAAGTACATAAAATTTCGCTCCGGTGGGTTGCATCAATTACTAGCGCGAGCAGGAAGAGGACGCATCTTATCGACATCAATCGATAATCGACTGAATAGTTTTTGTATTTCCATATTTCCGTATTTCACGGATTTCTCCATGGTGTCCCCATGGGTGTTGAGTTGTGTTCTAGTACAAAAGTCACTCATTGATGGCGCGGTTTCAGGCGTTGTCCCGAAGTAACGTATAATAATATTTATTGCAATTTAGTTTTATGTGAATAGATAGAAACAGTCATTAGGTATCACTGACCTAAGATAATGCAAGAGTACTCCGATGATCTATGGACCGGAACTGATTTTGGGCTGCATCCGGCCAACGCTCCATAAATTGATATATGAACGTTGAAAGAAGGCAAGAGAAAGGTTTGCAACACACACAGACGATGTGCGCAATCTGCTTGCCTCGACTGTGGGTGAAAGCGTTGTCTCCGGAAGCTATAGCTGAAGCACTTCAGGCTTGAGGTTTCAATCGGGAACTAAATAAAGTTTAATTGGATAAATTAAAACCGATCAATAAATGTTGTGAACTGCCTCATTTACTAAATCGTAGCTTCAGGGATTGAGTAGTCTTGAGTGATTGTTCTTTTCTGGGGTGGGGTGGGGTGGATGAACCAGATCGTGAATATTGACACTAATGAAACTGGAGGGAATAAAGAAACCGAGGCTATCCAGAAAACATAATCACCTTGATTCCGGTAGGGTCACTACTGTTTGGACAGTGAACTTCGGCATATCATACCTGGCCTTAGATTCACAATTCTGATCCATTTGGTCGTGATTATCACACGCAATGATCTGGACTCGTGATTCAGGATGGTCTCCGACCTGTTAAGAGCGATTAACAGTGGCGGCCACAGCAGCATCGACAGTTTAACTGCTTTCATATTCTATCATTTATTTCTCATGTGGTATGAAGTGATTTTAGAATATGTGCCCCATTAGTGCGTCTATTGAAATCAGGGTATGCAGAATTGTACGAAAAAAGCACAGTGGATGTTGTCATTTACTTATATACAGATATCATTATCAACTTACTTCAAACTTAATGACTTATTCGAGTTATGGGTTGATTTGAATTGACTTCTTTCAAACTTCATCTTCACGCACACTCCTCAGTTCATCCAATCAAACAGCACTCGACTCGAGTTTCGCTCTTATTAGAGCTAATCCGTAGTAAAGGTGAAGTCCGAAGGATGGTCAGTTCAAATCAATCGATATTAATTATCCCACACCACTAATCACAAGAAACTGTGAATTAAATCGAATTATTCGAGTAAAACATTCTCAAAATCTTGTTAACTTGAAACGGATGAAGAAAACAGAAATCAGATGATTCCGAGTACCGTATGGACAAATAATAAATTCATCATTTAAAATGAATCGACTTGTGTCTCGTCGTAAATAAGAACAGTACAAGGGAGGCATGCATAACTGGAAACTAGTCAGACCAACGGAAATCGCGTATGTCATATCAATCTCCTGACTTGAACGCGATCCGTTGGTAGTGGTCTATAGCGCATCTAGCTGGTTCCTAGGCACAGATACTTCAATCACTACGGTCATCATTTTCTCCCGGGAAGGTCACTTTCCTACTGTGGAATTGTGATAACTGACAACTAAAGGAGAAGAGGAAGGCTTGCAGTCTCTGCGGTCTCCGACTGTGCGGAACGACATTACGCTACTGCAAAGTTTCATACGCAGCCAAAACAGGCAGTCAGGCAGTACGAGTGTCAACTGGAAACTGCCTGAACTACACGATCTGTAATGTAATCAAAGATCTATGTTTTGTATAAGTTTATCTTTAAACTCAAGTTGTTCGCGTTCAACCGGATTCGATGCATTTTCAAAAGCGACCACGTCCCCAATGAGCAATGCCAGTTTTTCGCTCAGTTATCAGCATGAAGGCAAACTCCGGAAATGTATTATCTTCCTGGTTGAGTTTGCGCTCAATTTGCACTCATATTTTACCCATTAATTCGGTACGTCCGTGTCAACAGATGACGATATTATTCACCAGAAGGAAATTAGGTCATTGCAGTTCATTTTATTTGTCTCCAAGTTCTGTCGTTCAGGGATTAATCAAGAAACATCGATCCTGTTCCCAAACAGTACAAAAACCACGTTGTGAATGGATACTAACTGACTGCTTTTTAGGCTTTGAATGCGGTATCCTGAATGTAATTGACAATGGATCATTCTTTTAATGATAAACTACTGGCAATATTTTCTTCGCAAATCTATTTCTGAAGAAATGTAATAACGTGCACTTTGAGTTAAAGATACAGTGTCAATGTGGAAAAAATGATGATAGCAGCCAACCAAAAGCTCAAAATAAATAAAGAGATGTTTGCCAGAGATCTACTTTAATTTTTAAGGGGCATTTCAATGAGGACAATTTTTCACTTTACTGAAAATAAACCATTTATGTGACTTTATAGAAAAACAAACAATGATTTAGTACTGGTGATAAATGTTTGGTTCAGCCCATTTTTTACAGGCACAAGGCACTGTTGATGATGTTGGGTGTGGGTTTCACTCCTTCGGAGATCGTTAGTTTACCACTATTTGAGTGCATTTAAATGTGATGACAGGGACACAAAAAGTACGCACTGTTGACGAATCCCAAACAGAGCGAAAGAACTGTCCTGTTCCCTTTTTTGATTATCAAAAAAATTTCCATCGCGTTTTAATGATTTAGTTTGTTTATATGATGAATTCGTCGTGAAAATGAGGCGTGAGTTAAAAAAAACTAGGAAGTACTATAGAGCTGTTTTGACCTGGTCGGTTCTCATCCGAAGTGCAAATCCATCGGCCCGACTGAGGATCGAGCCCGGGTCCTCACCGGAAAAACGCAAGCCATACTTGACCACCGGGCAGCTGATCAGACCGTTTCTTACTTTCCATTTACACAACCCATCTTTGTGAGCTTGTTGCGGTCAGCGGATCTCGCTCACCTGAGCACTATTCTCCAGGGATATGACCCTGTTTGAAACTTTCACAACTTGATACAGTTTGTGATTAAATTCTATTTACCCCATTGTGCGCAGCCACAAAGGCGCACACTAATTGAAAGATAAAGTCATGAGTACTGCGTACACTGTTACACACTACTAGCACGTTTCAATATAATGTTATCTTTTTGAACATATCGACAAAAGAAAATTCATTCCGGACTAAAACTTAATTAAACTTATTAAATAGCGCGTTAATGCTTCAAGGTTACTCCAATCAGTTAATGTGCCCGAATGTTTTCAGCGAATGAGTGCAGAGTGTTGCAATGGAATTGTATTAGTAATCAATTTTTATTTGATAAATATAGATCCATCTAATGGCCGAGAAATTTCAAAATGGTTCGAAGAAGGAACGCAATATTGATCGATAATTATGGAAACAAGTTATCAGTCTTGATAAAACCACCGATCGATTTGGAAACTACCAGCCTACATTCCGAGAGATTTGGAAAAAGAATAACATGAGGACCCTATGATCGAAGTACAAAGGGAAAAAGTTCATCGATGTTGAGAAATACTTTATAGTTTACGCAATACGCTTTGGCATCCCCCCCGTTGAGAAATACCTCGGATGAAAAGTGTATGAAACACGCACACACAATCGTGTTACCTGATCGTCATTCCCCTCTATAGTGAAAGATAATATATTTTGAATCTCCTGCAAACAGACATTAGAAAATAATCATTGACCATGAAGTTGGTTTGGATTCAATCCAACAGGTTTCGAAAATGGAACATTGACTAATCTCAGCTTATTCCCAAAAGGTTTCAGTTAGCGGGCACTACAAGAATCGAACAGTAATGTGCAATGGTATTTGACAATAGTACCTCAAATTTTTCTCACACCATAATTGATATTTTTACTAATTATTTTATTAATTTTCCAGAAGGCATTGTACAAACGAATCAAAAGATCAGTTTGCAATCCAAGCATCGCGTGACTATAGACAAAGAACACGGGATAATTGTTACATCATTTTTGGGAGTTATCAATAGCGCGTAGGTTCTATGTCCCTGGCGGGAATTGAACTACAAACCTTCCCTGTCTGCGGGAATGGGATTCAAGTTCGTTCACTTTTCTTGTGCAACGGATTTCACGTGGAAAGAATGACTGATACTCCAATAGATGAAACCTACACAATTCCTTAGAGCAAACATGACATAGAAAGCATTAGGGGTTTTCTTTTTTCCTTTTCAAAAATACTATCATGAATCTCATCGAGGCACTCGTCATTCGTGAATACCACTTTTAACTTCATGAACAGTGTACGCGGCTCAATACTTTAACGGTACGAGGGCTGAGATAAATGTCTTCGGATGCACGAAGAGTTTTATTTACTACAAAAAGATAAGCATCATATTTTCTTAAGGTGCTCTCCACCAGCGTTTGTGCACAGTTCCATGCGCTAAAACTATTTGGTGAAATAGCTCGACAATAACGAAGCGGGTAACCATTCGACCAGTTCAATGAAGGCATCAGCTAATATCGGTTAGATCAGGCGTAGTTTAAACTCATACTGTGACAAGCCCTTAGAAAATACATTCGCTGTCAAATTGTTCAAATAACTGCAGCAGGTTCACGAGTTATTTTGTATGAAAACCGTTAAGCGAAGAAAAACGTCAACAAAAATTAAATTTCATTCAGGCAACTTTGAACTGTTTGGCAGCCTGGTGAAACAGACTGCGATCGATACCGCGAAGCGGGTTAATCAATCAGGTTTTCAGACGAAATATACGAAAAATGGCCAAAAGTAGTTTGTAACCACGTATATCATCTACATCTGATTACATGTTTAGAGCACGTTTGTGCGGATTAGGAGACAAACGGAGAAACCAAAGGAAGGCTTATTCACGATCGATTTATTTTAATCGGTTCAACACAGGTTTGTTCAGGGTTTGCTAATTTATGCTTCCGTTGATCGCAGCTAGTTAGAATCAACAATCGATTATACATTTATTTTCAACCATGTAAGCACCGAGTGCGAATTTGTTCTCCACTTTAAATTAGCATACAAAACCACTCAGGGGGCACGACATTTTGTTTTTCGTTGAAACTTCCAAACAGCCCAAGGTTGAATATGAAGATTTGAATCTCATTATTCCGGTGTCAGTTTTCTGGGACAGATGAATGCGTGCCAGTTTGCTAGATCGAGATGTCATCTGTTGGTGTACACAAACGTCACACATGGCCTCAGTGATCGAAGAATATCCAGTCACGGCCGAGCGAGCGAGCAAGCAGGCAAGCAAGCAAGTGTGTGCGCACACACACTAAAAGTGCATTATCATACAAATTAGAAGTGCCGAGTGTTCAAGCTCCCCTCTCCATCACCAATTCCGTTCCGTGATGAGGCACTCGAAACTGTACATGAGAAAGTTGGATAAACGGTATTTTTGCGGAAACGGTTTACATTGTGGATGCTTCGAAAAAGTAATCGATAAAGGTGTTAATATTGCGTGTCACACCCTTTTCTGTAACTGATAGATTTCGGGTGTTCCCACCCTTCACACGAATGGCCATGAATAATGCATTCAAGTTGTTCAGAGATTTTTGTTTCCAAATTGGTTGGGATACAGTTTAAGTTCACCGGTTTTCCCCCGTACTGATCGTCAAAAGTTCTCGTCTTGCCACCAAATGTCCACTTGATGCGACCTGTACAGAGCGATTGTTGAGTTCATTTAATGATCGGATATATATATATAGAAAGTTATGATGGAAAGAAATTTGGGTTGTTCACCGTTCAGTAGTTTAATGCAAACTCCGTTTTCTTTTAATTTTTCACGAGGCTACTTTTGCATACATACACATACACACTCACACACGAATTATCTCATTAACCGCCCAGTCCGGCTAAAAGCAATCAAAAGCGAGTAATTTTCCAAGCGTTCCAGAATCTTATCACGAGTCATTCATAGGAAGCTCCTCAGGTTCTGTGAAAGTACTTCAATAGTTAAACATGCTTTTGACCGCTACAAGCACATACTAAATGGGGTTTGCCAATTTTCCCTTGATTTTAGTATCTATTAGTCAATTAAAGGTTATTTAAAATGATTAATTCGGCGTTTAAGTGAGGCATAAGCTGAAAAACTGGGGGCATCGGACAGTTGTTTAGATCTGGTTGGGTCTTATTCGCAGTGTGAATAAATCGCCCCAACTGGAGATCAAACCCGGGATATCACAGGCCGAACACAAGCATGCTACCCACTAGGTCAACTGACAGCTGATTAGACCGTTTCGCATTTGCAGTATACTGGATATAGCACAACCCATCTTTGAGAGCTTGTTGCGGACCACGGACCTCGCTTATCTCAGCACCAGCCTCCGGGGTAATAACTCGATTGGAAACTTTCACAACCTGACTATTTGTTGTATGAGAGTATGAGTTCATTGTACGTCATTGTATTGTATCCAGAAATTAGTAGGAAACTCATTGTTTAAGGTTCCAAACGTAATCATTTGAGTGATTCACCTGATTACCCATTGTAAAATGTTCGTTGTTTTCCAAAATTTTCCCTATCTGATATAAACATTGCCCCAAACAAGGTAAGTTATTTCAGATCACTCCAGTTCAGATATCGACGTCTGACTTGTCTACATCATTTTGCCTGGAAACGACTTGCAGCCCATCTGGCTCTAGTGCTATTGTACCGTTTGGGGTACACAGGAACATTATGTTTTGTCGGTGAATCGGTGATAATAATTTGAATAAAATGATTATATAATAATACAATTGAATGATTGTAATCTGAAAACAAAAACTGTTTCTTCGTTTCCCGAGGGGAGGGGTATTTTGTACTCAGTGAGATTTCGTAACAGCTTTATTGTTTATAAAAACTAATTTAAGATTTTTACATGGTTTAAGAGATGTTATTTGAGATCAGCTATCCCTCCATTTTATCTATGCGGCCACCTTCTAGGGTGACATCACAGGGACGTTTGTCAAACAGATGAGTGCAGTCCTGTCCAGCGGGTATTCCAGTCAGTGCCCTCAATAAATGAATTTTGGTGATATTTTCTAGAATCCGAAAGGAGACAAATAGTTTCTATTGGTTAAAATCTTTCTACACATCTTATAGCCACACTTGAGGGAAAGAACATTATCTGTTCCAAGCTGTTTTAGAGGTAATGGAGCGGATGAAAGTAAAAACATTTGGCTTAATCAAAGAAATCTAACGGTCATTTCAAAAGGTATTCCGTGCTTCTGTTTGGCCGTAATACTTTAACTTCATCTTTAATGCGCAGTTCAAATTGCGGAGAAAATTACTCAGAGATCAGGTATTCTGTACTGTGTAAACTATCCAATGGAAAACACAATGAAAATAAGTACTCATTTTTAGTGCATTACAACAACATACATGTGACTAATTACAGATGAACTTTAATCGTCAGTTTAAACCTGACATACCAAAAATATTTTCAATCAAAACTGAAAAGTTACTATCTGACTTCATTTTTTTATAAACTCCGTAGAATTCGGGGTCACTAACCAATCAATAATTCATAGAAAAGAGTTGTCGGATTCCAGTGTCCTTAGAGGGTTTTCTCTCTCTCTCCAGCATAGTTTACCAATCGATTTTCCGCATTCCTCTTCATAGATTGTGGGTGTTATTTGTGTCGCTCTGGCCGGACGAGGATACCATGAGACGTATCTACAATACCTCATCACAATCTCGGCCGGTTTTGCAATCGGGAATATTGTATTCTTGCTCATGTACGGTTTCGCGTCATGCAGACCGGGTGAGGGACGTTCTGCCACGAAATTGATAGTAAGTGTGTCTGATGTAAACTGTTCACGTTTGTGTACAGGGTTGGAAAGTCACAGTGGAAACTGATGAAGCATCGTCAAGACAAAGTGCTAAAAGCGTTAAACGCAAACAACTCTTTTATCACCTTGGGCACTAAAATGTTTTCTCATTTCCGGTGTTTTGTCATTTACTGGGTCAGTTATTTAGAATGTGCCCTTTCGATTCTGTGTTTGCCAGTTTGGAAGGCGATAATTGGCAGCATTTTAGAAAACCATGTTCGAGAAGAAATTGCTTTTCGATTTATCACATCAAGCGAATACATAAATATACGAGGAACATAATACAGATAACTGATTTGCCAATTATAGATCAATTTAGAACAATGGAAAAATTGCAAATTAACCTGTCTCCCATGGAACGCGACCAGATGTTAATGGTTATTTATTTCCTCTACTTTTTTGAAAATATGTTTAGATTTAGAAATTAGAGTTTATAAATCGGCTTGGAATGCGTCATCCGTATAACTCTAAATTACGAGACCAAAATGAAATTTTTGCGGATGTTCCTTGTTCGTGGTCTCTCTTTCTCTTCTTTTCATTTGATTTTGAATTAATAGTTTTTACTTCCTTTTATGGAATACATAGTGTTACAATTTTCAGAAAGGGATAAGGGTTCCATCATTGGGCTCGCATACAGCACACACCATGGGGGAAAGTCAGTCGACGGTGGTGGGAGTTAGACAGCCAAGGCGAATTCGGGGCTACGTTTTGTTGTAACTGGAATATGTGTGTGCACACGCGCAGGTCCGCCTACAAATTGACAGTGCGGTAAACATTCCGGTGAATGTAAACAAACTAAATCGTGAAAGCATTTTCCCCCAATAGAACAGTGAAAGCAGAGAATCAAAGCAGATGAATTTCCAGATCAGTTATTTCAGTTACAAAATGCACGCTTTCTGATCAACGTCACCACAGAACTCACCGTTACACAACAACCTCGAGAAACCGTGAAAGCAAGAAGCGGAAAATGGATTCAGCATTCGCAAAAAAATGATACTTAATCTACATAAAACGACGATTCAAATGCGATGGAGAGCGTTGATCAGCTGTTTCATCCTGTTTGGGACTCATCAGCATTGTGTACGTTTTGTGTACCTTTCAGGACTCGAACCGAAAAACATTCAGTTAGGAACTTCAAACCCTTTGCCCTGAGTTACACGGTCGACGGTTCTCACCTTGTGCGACAGACTCAATCAGTTTAGAATATCAAGCTGGGATTAGCCCATCTGATTGTTCTGAGGAACCAGGAACTCTTGATGATCTTGGGTGTGGGTTTCTCTTCTTAGGGCATTGTTAAGTACCCACTAGTTGAGTGCAGTGGAGAATTATCGATCTCCCAAGGAGTAAAACCCACACCCAAGACCATCATGAGTACTTGGTAACTCAGAACAGTCGAACGGGCTAATCCAAGCCTGACATTCTAAAACGATGATTGTTTGAAAAGAACTAGATGACATGTGGATAGCTCCGTTCAACCACTTTCGAACTATAGTTAGTACTTAAAAATTTGGTTTTGGTTCCTATTCCGGCACGTGAACAGTCGACAAGAATGAGCAAACTTAAATGGGAAGCTTTGCATTGTGTTGAAATTCGATCACAAGCCGGAGAGTGTTTCGAAAGTAAGGGGCAAAGTGGAGGGAAAGGAATGCAAAAAGCCCACAGTTGTGAACAATTTCTCTTCCCGCGTCGACGGACCACGGTGCACTGTTCTCCTGGGAACCGCCGATACGGTTACACGAAGACAAAAACCATACTATATTTGAGTTTTCACAGTCAACGACGATAAAGAAATTTTGTCTATCCTCAATCCACTGTTGCATTTCTGTCGGTTCACCGACCTGTTCCATCTTTTCATTTCTTTCAGGAAACAATTTATCAGCTGACCGCTAGTATACTATATCTTGCAGCAGTCGGGGCAACGACAGTTCAAGTGGACTATCTGAAACCGTTTATGGGCCCGGTTACGGTAAGTATTGATGACGCGGAAGCCAGATTGCAATCAATGCATCCAAACCCTGCTTAATTACCGATATCACCCCAGTACACTTTAGAACATGCGTTGTTCGAATTCGTTTTGATTGTAGGATATTCCCCTTTCGTTCCTCATCCAAGTTGAAAGTTAGGCTCCTGAGTTGTCACAATCAAAACAGTCTCGTCTGAGAGTAGCGCTTCTTGAGCGTGTGCATGATGTGAACACAGATCTTAAAAGTTTCTTTGAGTGTTGGTTGATGAGTGTTAGAGAGTAGTTTGTAAGTTACATTTTCACATGCTTGTAGGGTCTGTTCATTATAGTATTCGCACATGGGGTGTTATTTTTTTCGGATACTGCTAGTGGATTAATTAAGGGCTAAAATACATCAAGGTTTATTTTTGAACAGCCCAGTATAAAATGTGTGGAGCAAATTCCTTGAAGGGATACAGTTGATGATTGATATTTATACATAAATAATTGGAATCATTTAAGCTGTTCCTTCGTTCGCAAAATAAATGAAAGTGAAATTGCATAGTTTGGGATTTCAGCAATATGTTATTCTCGTGGACTTCAGTAGTCAAACATTGGGTGAAATTTACCTGACCCGATGAGTTTGCTTTCTCCCCTAGGGTTTTAGGAGGGGAAGGGTCGATTCGCATTAAAGCCTTAACATATTAATTTTCATTGTTTCTCTGTATACCGATGAAGCTATGCAAGGTGATCCCAATGATCGTAGCAGTTAGGCAAATCAAACGAAGAGAATTTTCTAATGCATTTACCTTCTTGTGAATTAGGATTTTACTCTCTTTGGTATATATGACTTAGAAACTGAAGCGATGTTTCGCCAAGTGGTCTAACAAAATCATTCAGACCACGTATATTTAGCCATTGTCTTGTCCAGCTTCACCTTGTTGATCATCGGGCGCGGGCAAGTGTTTGTGACCTGGATCGACGGTATCGAACGGGGTGGATTAACTTGGGAGTGAGTGAAACAGTTGGTGTCAGGATCATTATCCGAATGACATTTCTGGACCGGTGTAGCATAAATGTTAGCTTCAGTTTTGACACTGCCTGCTAGAAGTTTGATCAGCAGACAATAGTCATCGCGTTGTTTGGGTTTCATCGCTAAANTAAACGTCTGTGGAGGAGGAAGCACACTCAGGTCTGAAAACAAAGAAACTGACTACACGATAGGGCTTTGCCAACAGAGTTCTTGCATAGTGAATTCGACAAGGGAAAGCGTGAACTGGCACTTTCAACTGTTAACGATATCATTAAAGCGTCTAGTGTGACTGTGTTTGGTTCCGGTATAAATCTTTTATTTTTACTCGGTAGCTAGACGATTAAAGCAGGGCTTATAAATCTGACATACCCAATGATTTTCACAATACTCTTCGATACTTCCTCTTTGAAATGACTGAAACTCCATCCTACCAGAAACTTTTCAGACCACGTCTCCACCTCCAAGTTTCACCACACTGTATCTTCCTTTTGAGACAAAGGAAATACTCATTGTTACTTGCTGTTTCCGTGAAAAATAAATCCTATATGTAATAGTTCAAATTCACAGCTCTCGTAAAATAAGAAGACGAAAAAAAACGTTTCGTAAATCCAGCTCTTGAATTCAAATGCAGCTTATATGACATAGAACGGCTACCATTCGTCGATTAACTGTTCAACTGCTTTTTGGCTCCTCCGTAGAACGACCCCTCCAAATTTGACCTTAGACCAGGGGGGGGGGGCAAAGTGCCTCTGAGCAGACTCAGGTGGATAGGAAAACCGACACTGTGAAAATGTCAACGTTTAACTTTGAACCACATCCTGATTGCAGTTTCACAGTCACGTGAAGGTTTACTAACCAGTTCCAAATCAAGTAAACTCCCTCGTTCACAGTCATCACTCGTTCTCAGAGGTTTTCCACTAATGATAGAAGGCAAACCAAAGCATTGTACACTAGTAACCAAACGATTTAATTCACCAAGGCCGACTGTGTGTGTGTGTGTTATGATGTATTACGCAAGCACAGCAGTAGAACCATAGACGATGTGAAACTATAGTATTGGCCAGTTTTAGGAAACAAAAGAAATAGCTCAGTCTTGGCGGACACTCGTTGATAATTTGGGGACACAGCTTCGTCTCGTGGTGCACGTGTGACATCCTGGTCACACGCGGTGATTGATAGTCCGTTCCGGTACGTTCGTGCACCGGTAGTCACACTGAATGAGCAACAGGAGGAGGAGGAGGAGGAGAAATCTGTATGCCAACATGTTGATGTCACATTTTACAACTCACATTTATCCAATAATGAACTATCGGTCCGTGGTATTGAAATGATGTTCTGGTTGGCATGCAACCCATATCTTATCCAAATGACCAAAGTTATGGTGCATTTTGACCCAAAGGCTGTAGCGTTATGTTTAAACATTGAGCTAACTACACAGAAGCTTTACAGAGGCCACTGTGAAATAAGAATGCATGTCTAACAACAGAAAAGAAACATTCCCAAACCTTTTTTTAAGGTATCCTCAAATAATGTATTACGTTACTGAAACAAAATTACCGTGCTGCAGAGTAGTGTATTGCTTTGTTTGCATTGAATCCACGAATCCACGAAGGTAAGTAAAATACTTTTGGTAAGCTCGTATTTAACTAATCTTATCTCAATTTCACGCTTATTGAATATAAATTTCGTACTTCAACTTTCATGTGATTATGTGAGGATAATGATAACGGCAGTTTAGTTAAGTGTAGAATTGAAAATCTCGCGAAAACCTGGATTGGCGGGATGTATCATGGGAACAATGTTAACGCATACAAACATAGGTTAGATGCTTAGGGTTAGTTGTTTTCTTTCGAGTGCTATGATTTGGCTGTATAGACAATTCATTGTGAGTCCCGTGTGCTTATATTCCAGCATCTTCACATTATTCGATTTGCGATAGTCTTGAGCGACTACCACCTATTAAGGAACACTGATTGGAACAAGGATTACGAAATCAACGAAAGTGGAAAATCACTATTCTCTCATGTGATAGTTCAAGCGAGAAACATTTAGTCTGCAAATAACAGCATTTAAGTATTTTTCATTTTAAACTCTGTCATGAATCACAAGTAAAGAGCTCTTTCTGTTTGAATTCCAAACACTAGTGTATTTTTGTTGTGCTTTGTACGTTCGGCACATACATTTTGTACATACGCCTATCTAGCCTTGTTCGTAATACCTTGTGTTGTAATGGTTTATGCCAACCGGCCTTCATTTCAGTCAGAAACTGTTACATTCACATACAAATGATAAAACTCAAAGAGATGGGTCAACTTTGTAGATTTCCAATCAGTTCTTGTGGGCTAGAATATGAACCAAATGTGGGTTTCTCTGGATCCACGATTGATGTTTCTTCGGGATACCAAGCAGTGTAAGTTGGATCCGGTTTGGCATAGGAGAGGCAGAAAGGTAGGTCGGGATTGAGGAAAAAGCTTTGGTTGTTAAGGAACTAATGAGAGGAATTATCACGTAAGGTTATCTGAAAGTGTAACAGATTTGTTATATGGAAATTACGGTTCATAATTACCGCACCGCGGCAAGTAGTAATGAAATCCTTTGAAATCAGGCCAAGGAAAATCACAAAGAGCGGTTCAGTATGACAGGAACAATACACCGACATATAAAAGAACATGTAGTTGAATGCCTCACTCTAAATTGCCGTAGTTTGAGCATCTGGAATGATGAATGACGCACTCGGTCAACAAAGGATTGCACGTTGGATGACCACCGTAAGTTTCTCTCCATGTTAACTATTTGATAGGGTGAGTTCTAGTTATGGCTGCTTAGGTGATGTTTGATGGTGACAAGTGGTATATACTAAAAGTCGGTTTCTGATTTTGTTGTGTTTTGTTTGATCGTGGTATTTCTCATATTGCGATGAACAAAAGCTAAACTTGGTAGGAAAACGGCCGAATGATTTTGTATATCAAGGACGAATATGCCAAAGTTTGTTAAATTATTCAGTGTGTAAAAGTGCAAATACAAAGTGCGATTGAACCAGCGGTGAAGGAAGAGTCACACTTTGGTTGGCATTTGAAGCCTCTGCAACTGTAATCTCTATGTGCGCAGGCACAAACATACGCACAAGAGATTCGGGTGACTAGTTAAAAGGTTCAGGCGTAACATCAGATCATGAAAATAATGACATTCAAACACGTGGATGCTTAACTGCAGGCTAAGTAGGTATTCTCAAATTAAAGGCGCTTCAGACGGCATTTGAAAAATGGTGCAGCCCCTGGGATCTCGAAATCTTGCTGTACCACTTTACTGTTAGAGAAGAGTGCAAGCGTTGTAGTAGTAGTAGTAGAAGTAGTAGTAGTAGTGTGCACCGAATTTGGAACACGAACCACGCAATGGAAATCATAGGACACGAATCTAGGATCAGCTATCACGGACTGGATTATGGAAGCACTGAACCGCAATGGCATGAGCTCACAATATCCCACGTGAGCAAGACGCGAGGAAAAGGCCACAAGAATGGTAGTTCGTAGTTCATTTATAGAACTAAATGAAGGCGAATAAACAATATGTACAAAAGAAAATCATTAGTTATCTAGGCTTCCACTAATCCTATTGCTTGCATAATTCTGCTTCTGTCTGCACTGTCTCGGACTGGCTGGCACGATCCACCTATGGTGTGTAACAAGAAGCCGTACGCGCGACACTGACGTCACCTTTCAAATCTGATTGATTGCAGGTGTCCAGAAACTGTAACTCGCCGCTCCACGGTAGGCGTTATCACGTAGGCCTCGATCACTACAATGAAGCACGACGTCACCTCCCAAGACGTGTTTCCGACTAATTGTTTGCACCCACATTGATTTAAAAAAGCTCATCACCCCGACCAAACCGCGCAAACAAATAGAATGGGTTACTTCTCCTCGCCTCATCGGATATCCGTGACAGGAAATGCAGATAGTTTTTGTCATTGGTCTGTTTTTACATGAGATTAGTGGATCGGATGGATTGGATTTGTACAGTAAATTTTGTGTCGTGTACAGAACGAACGAAGTGTAAACTAGAGAGATGGGAAGCACATTGTGCGCGAGTTTTTTTCGACCGGGTTTTGATTCTTATCAGCACAGCCAAATGACTCAACTTAATCGTTGAGCGAGTGCAGAACTCTACAGCTAGAACACAGACATATTACCCTCTTGACCATCGGGCAGTTGATTGAGCTTTGTTGCATGTATCGCACCTTGTTCATCCTACTGATATACTTGATTTGTCGGTTAGCCTACCTTCACGTTGTGCACTGAATTAACTACAATGTAAGTGTGAACAGAAGCAGTGTAGTGATCCCAGGAAGATTGTACAATTCAATACGTTCTGCTTGATTATTAAAAGTAATCTTAAATCGGAACAGAAATGTCATTCATGCATTCGGAAGTGTTGATTTCTCTGGTAAAACATGCCTTCTTTTGTTGCATGACTGGTCTGATGAACGGCGAACTTCGGTGCTGCAGGGATGAGGAGGGTTGGAATCGTGTATCCCAAACGCAGGTTGTTGCTCCTGCTCTTGCATATAGAAAAGAATGAACAACGTAAAGGTACTCCACGATTCCCCAAGTTTATTCAAAACAAGGAGGATTTGAACGCGACCGTTTGACAGGATTTGGGAGTTCACTAGTTAATAGCAGGTTACGGTTATGATGGGTCTACGAGCAATTAGAAATTTTATCACGATTTTTAACATGAAATACATATTGCTGAAAAAGCTCTAGTTGCGATCGACATTGTTATTGTTGAATGTTTAATAATCATGGACGACCTCACATCTATCTCCCTGGTCTTGGTTTCGACTGATTGGTTGTTCAAAAATGCTATATCGATTGATACTCTGACTGGAGCCATACGGCAGTTTCGATTCGTCGAGGTTTCCAGTATGGAATGTTTGATTCACGTATTTCCCAAGGGGTTGCCAACTGATGGTCAAGTGGTTCGGTTCCCAACTTGTGACCTGGAAGTCCGGGGTTCCAACGCTCCGTCACCGCCGGTATTTCCTATTTCTGTATTTTCAGAGGAAGCCGGTTTGATCGCGCTCCCTCTTCCTGATTGTTGAATGTACATTTGTATATTCACTAAATAAAAAGAGGAAATAAAAGGCATTTGTTTATTCATTTGAAACTATGGCTGATGATCAAACTGGCTTTGTTATTTTGTCCCCAGGTATTTACAACTTTCAATTTTGGAATCTACACATTCGGCGGATTGGTTGCTTTGACGGAGCTAGTTTGCGAGGACCCAACAAAACCACCGGCTGTCGCGAACCCAATCACGGTGGATGCTGCCAAAACCAGTGGTCTCTGATTGCTAATCTCCCCGGGGGAGGAGTGGGGAGACCCAGAGACTGAAGTCAAACAGCACACATCCATAGGACCAGATTGTGTCCCTTTCTTACCCAAACACAACCACAATAAACTGTGGCACGCAGTATTACCTAGTAAAGGAGCTGGGTTATGTATGAATGTTTAGTTTTCCGAAGATCCTGGTTTACAAAATCAACTCACCACCCATCTTGTATCAACTCGTTGCACATACCAAACCGTGTTCATCATTATTGCAGATATCGATTGAAATAAATATTTTAGATCTTTCTTTGTTGAGTTTTATCCGAATATGCTGAAAGAAAGAGGTAGTCACAAGAACGTTTTGATACAACTGTTTATATTGAAAATATGCTCTACTGAATCGTGGTAAAGTAGAGAAGATCGAAATCGATTTGTGCCAAGGGTGGAAAATCACAATTTTGTGGAACTGATCAAGTGTAACTTCACAATCATCGGACTAATTCGGTAAGATGACACAGATTTGGGAAGCGCAAAGAAGGAGGGCAGTTGCGATCAATTTTTTTTAATTGAGTGCTGCTCAAACGGAAAAAGACGAAGCAGGATCCACTTTAAGGGAAAATAAAATATTAGCGAATATCAAGTTCAGAGTTAACCGATGGTAGGCAGAGTACCTAGGAGAAAGATATTCTATTCACAATAAAAATATGATACACCACATGCTTGGTGAACGGCATTTTTTTGAAAGTACCAGGCAAATTAAAAATTAAAAAAATGAGCGATATAGGACGGGTTAAACTTTGATAAATCTAAGCAATCTTTGTTCAATTAGGACCCCGTTGTATGAATCGGTCGGTTTGATGTCAAATAGAATACAAGAGGTTTTCGGGAACGCTGACTAGAATTACCACAGTTTACCTGTGGAGCCCGTGACTGGGAGTCTTGTTATGTGGATTCTTTGCACAATTCAGAAGACAATAAACTCATTTGAAAGGAAACATTTGTCTCAAATCATTCAACGTGGGTCACTGTGAACAACTGTTCGAGAAATCACAGCTCAAATTGAGTATATCATTACTCATCTATTTGCATGAGAGTAATTTCATGGGGGGAATTTGTCGTATTTAGACCCAACGAAGCGTGAACTGAAAAGCTAGGAAGTACTGAGATGAGCAAGGAACGATACTCGCAACAAACGCGCATAGTTGGGTTGCGCTCTATCTTGTAAACGGCAAATGAAAAATGGCCCGATCAGCTGCCTGTAGTCGAGTGGGTAGCATGCTTGCATTCTGTCTGTAAGGTCCCCGGTTAGATCCCCAGTTGGATCGAAGAATTCACACTGCACTGATCAGAGCCAACCAGGTTGAAACAGTTGTACAGTGCTCCTTAACTGTTCAGTACACGCATCAGTTGTTATATGCACGACGAATGCCCCTTATGAATCTCATATACTTCTTTAAATGCCACCACTTAGAGTTTTTTACACACAATCCAAATTTGCCCGGCTACTTGCGCGTATGGCCTTCCATAGAAACGATTACGTTAACTATCTGTTCTTGCAGTTTGACCATCATTGAACAAGCTATAATGGAGCTTGAAAAGATTCAGTCATGTTTGTGATTGAATCTCATAGCAAAAAGTATTTCTGTTTCTCTGCACTGCTCTTCCATGCATACGCGCATGCAAAGGCGTTGCTGTAGTGGGCATAAGTTGATCATAGTCAGTCGAACCTTGAACGCGGATACCGATTCAACACTGATAATCCAGTGGTGACTGTGACAAACAAGCCTTACTGCATCAGATCGATTTCGTGATAAGCAAATCCGCTCTGAAGAATTGTTCTTGTTTGTCAGTACATATCTAAAGTATCTGCTTCGGTCACGGTTAACATGAGCACGTTTAAAGTCATATGGACATAATTCGGCGGCCTCTTCAACATTACCTCGACATCAGTAGGATTATGCAAATCGGTCAAGAATTATGCATTAACCGAGCGATACTGCTCTGAGGTCCGGTTTCCATCCTCATTTGTGTCATTCTTTTATCTTTTACTTTTATTCTTTTTCATGTTTTATTTCGTTTTATTGAATATCTAATGGTACAATTTTCAGGAATGGAGAAGCGATCAATCAAAGGGCTGGGGAAATTTAGGCTGTAGTGGTGAAATTCGGACGCATGTCTATAGGTGTAATAATTTGGTGACGTTCCCACCATGAAGTTGTGTTTCTCATGAAATTGAGATGGATTTTACCGGATCCTGAGTGGCTAATTTAGTTTTGCTTGACCAAAATCACAATATATCCCAGCCAACTCCTTCAGAAGTATCCTGCAGTCGTGTTTTTCTTTCAGATTCATAAAATAGATTGAAACAGAAACGGGCAATCAAATTGAAAGCGCACTGCTATGGTACAACGAGTAGTTGTCTAACCCCATTAGATACTACCAGCTGATCATTTCGCAGTAGCATGATAGTGTTAAGCTTAAGTATCTGTTACATTTTTTGGAAGTTGTTATTGGTAGATATGAAGTATTCCGTGTACAGCATCTGACTGCCGAAACGTTGACAAAACACGTGAAGTTATATTGGCATTCAATAGGCCTTATTTCTGGACTCGCGGAAGATTTCCGTCGAAATTTGCATCGAGCCTCACACGTTTTTCGATCAATGGGAACATTTTTCATTCTAGGTGAGGATGCTGAATTCCCGTATTTGAAGTGTCTTTTATATTTGTTCCCCACTGACGACATATGAATGATATTTCGCTCACGGTCGATTCCAAAATACGCAGAAGAGAATCACCAAGGAATTGTTCCACCCCTTAGAAGGACACTGGATTCATTTCATAGACAAAATCAAGAACACAGAGCATTAAGGAACTCATTTTACTACTTGTTGAGCGACTTTTTAAATTTAAGTTTCTGAAACTATTTTAAATGTTTTTCTTTCTATTACTCTTCTCTCTCTTGTTGGTGAGATCCGCTACAGTTATCAAATAAACTAAGGTATTGGCCTCGTTAACTTCCGTGAAATATCTCTGACAGTGTCGAAATTTTTGCAGTCCGTGTAACAGGAAGCTTCTAGACTAAATCGCACATTTCGCATACGGGTCGCGCTGGAGGAATTCAAAGCATTCATCTATTCCGCATGATATGCTTGTTACTTGCAGGACAATACACTATACTCTACAATGGTACGGCAGATGATCCAAGAATCATTAAATATGCTTCAGTTTGAGTACATTCGGATAAATTTAGAACTGACAAGATATCGATTTTAGCAACATATGCATCCATTTAACGATTTTTCGTTTTGACCTTGCTTATTGATTAAATTGTATTCTTTGCTACATGAAAGCAAAAAACGGTCATATCTGAGCGTGTATTCTTTCGGAACTACAGCATGAAGTGGATCTCACGATGCGCAATGGTTTTTATCATTTTGTGTATTTGTTTATCCAACGAGGAGGGTCAGTCAATTTTCCACCAATTTTTATTCCCTTCTGTTATGATTTACATCCATTTAGCATGCAATATTGACCACTATTTCGTGCAATGGTTTAATCCACAGAACATATATAGTTCATAACAAAAATTACAGTTTCAGGGCAAGAAATTCAAGGAATACCGATGGTTTGATCATTATGTTCAAAAGTTTTGATAGCGTCGTCCTTCGATGCATTTAGTTTTGTGAAAATCTATGAGTATATGTTTGATGACTTTGGACATAGAATATAACTGTTGATTTTGTTAATTGATAATGTTTACACTAGACTCGAAGAATGAGTTATTTTAGTTTACCGTTGAAATGAAATGACGAAATGCGCCATTCTCCGTTGTTGGTTACCATATGATTTAATATCTAATTTGATTGAGGTAATGCAAATAGGTGCTTGAAGATCTATGCTGCATAACGAATAAAATAACAGTAACTCTTTTATTAGTGTTATTTCTGAAAATGTACTTCACCTCTTACATAATGCAAAAATGGTGCTTTACCCTAATAGCACATTCTTGCTCCCTCTGTCAGAATAAATGCAAAACGTATGAACACATTATAAAACAACTATCGAAGAATAAAGTGTTCAGCTCCATACAGATGTCCTATTTAAGAGAAATTCTGGAACGACATTCATGGGTTAGAGCACACAACCGACGCTTCCATCACTGAAGACTCAAGTTCATTAGTGATGGGAGCACTAGCCTGGTAATCAAATGGATAATGTGTTGCATTCTACCTGCGAGGTTCCCTGTTTGATCTCCAGTTGGGTCGAAAAATGGGATACAATCGGGTTTATTCAAATGTACAAGGCTTCGTAGGTTTTCAATTTGCGCTTCATTTGATCTATACAGGACGGATGTTGCCCTATAATCGAATCAAATCCTCATTGCCTTCAAGTAATATGAAATTCAAATAGCGAAATGGATTGGTAAACAGGAGATTTTCGTGCTAACCAATCCTGAGCGGCCTCATGAAAAGGGTTGAAAATGCGTGCTCTATATCTCCCATGCATTTAATTCCCCTGTGTCTAGCTATTGACCGGCGCGATCTATGGGATTGTTCAATACAATGCACCAAACAGACTTTGTGAGACTAAGAAACTTGCAAATGACAGCTCAAATACCTCAAATAGACGACCTCTCTACCCAACCCTTCAATCCGGTTTGACGAAGACCTAATCCCGCTAGTCTGTCTGTTGTTCTAGCTATACCAAACCACCTTGATAACGCATTCTCATTTGTTCGTCCTCTGCTGATGTTTCCCGTCTACATAGCGGTTCCATAGGTAATAAAATGGTACACAGTTTTAGACGTTTGCGAACTCATTTATTATACAAAAAGCATGGTAATTTATAAAGATAAGGAACGAAATGGAATGTATATAGCACGCGATTGGTTAACTGGGCTGTTGTTAGTCTTCCTAATTGGTTAGCGGTTCCGACCAATCACTTGAGGTCGGCTATTCTTGTTCATATTGGTTGCCTCAGAATGGTGCACTTTTCTGGGCGTATGTTGATACCCTGA